ATGTTAAAATAATTGAACACATGCAGTTTGATAGTAAAATAATTCCGTTTTATAGAGCTTAATTTAGTTCATTTTTGTAAACTGTTCGGAACGATAGTTTTCTTTATGATATAAATTATTTAATATATTTAAAATATGAAATTAAAAGTTTTAAATATATTAACTAACTACGTGTTGATTTTAGTTAGGTAGTAAATTTTTTGTTGAACATTTTTGAAATAAATTTTATCTATTAAAAATCTTAGCGATTGTTGTTTATATTGTGTAACATTTTTTTTTCATCGTACTTCAAACATTTGCGTTTTTCATTAGCTATTTATTTTAATTTTGTTATTCGTTAAAATATTTTAGAATCGTAATGTAATTATACCTGTCATTTTAGGTTTTTGTGAAACAGTTTTTTTTTTTGTTGTATTTTTATATTCTATTTTTTAGTTTTCCTAATGGTGAGAACAAGTGTATGGAATACAAAAAAAACCTCCGAAGGCTGCGCTGAGGATACAGTGATCGTTATTTTTATTCCGCCGGAAACGTTGAAAACTGATACTGCACGTAACACTGTGAAATCGAATTAATATCGAACACTTAAGCGACGTCGGGTTTGTAGGTTCGTTTTCCACTCTGAGCTGCAGGGATAACGTTACGCGTTTGTGCCGCGCCAACAAGTACGACGGTTTAATTTTGTGGGACGGACGGCGGATGTCGGCGGCTGATGCGGTTCGGCCCTGTTCGCTGTTAGTTCCGGGGTAGTTGGTGAAAATATATCGGGGCTTACGTGTATAGGGATGGACGAGTCAGACACGAGAAAATCACACGTGTGTAGGGCTTATGTATATGTACGCATTTTCGGCCGCGCGTGTGTTTAACAATTACTCCGTGACTCGGCGTACGAATATCGTAACGATATGTACATTCGGTTCACGAGAAGAAGAGAAAAACGTATAATAGAATAACATATACATAAATATAAATATATATGTATACGTGTGTGGGTGTATGACCATTATAAAATATTCACAGCATGGAATTCCGGGTGCGAGATACATATCATTAGATCAATTTATTTTGTACGGTTCCCTACGCGAACAGCTTGCGAAACAATGTTTTTGTGATAAATTGAATTGTAACTTATTTGTAGAATACATTTTTAATGGTCCAACTATATTTTTATTTTTATTTTTTTTTAAAAATTGTTTTCCGTTCAAGATGATTTTGACAACAGTTATAGAGTATTACTGCAACCGAAAACATAAATCATTGAGTCTACGGCTTACTATTTTTGTTTCTTTACATTATTTTGTATATTAAAATGTTTGTTTGAAAAGTAATATTTAAATTATACAACAGAAGTAATATAAGATTACGAAGTCATCTATATGTATAAAAAAAATTGTGTGCCGTCCCTGTCAACACAGAAAAAAGTTTAATCATCTTATCGCAACCGGGGCATGGTACCAAGTATAAGAATTCGTCAAGCGTGAATAAACATTGAGCGTTTAAGTATTCATTACAGGGTGCAGCATTAAATAAAATCACTGGTTGTGACGGCTGATAATGGTATGACTGGCAGCACTGAAGTCGGATTTGTTTGTTAGCTTCATATTTAATAGCTCGTCGTCCGATTTTAGTAAGTTTATTAACCTTGGACTCTTGCAAAATATTTAAATATAGATGCTCATTTCAAATAAAAGCTTGTGTTGGCGAAACAAATTATTTTAGAAAAATTGTTTATTCTTTTTCCAACGAGCTATGATTAATTATATAATTCTCTACTAATATTCATGAAGCTTGACAATATTGGATTACGTCCAATTAGTATTTATCCAACTGAATGCTGTCGTGTACATTTGTATAATTATATGAGATTACTAGAGTCTACTATATTTCTGGAAATATTCATAACTTTCCTTTTTTTATTTTTTTTTGTAGTAAAATTAATTCAAACCTTTTCGATTGTTTGTGCAAGTCGCTTGATCAAATGAAAAAGTACCTATATAGTTCCAAAGCTTTTCAAAAATAATATGTTATAAATAGGTCGTAAAATATAAAAAGTACTAGATTCATTAATTTCTTATTATCCTATAAATTCTGTAAAAATGAGTCCCGACTTTTATTTAATTGTTATTCGTAATGACTTCCTCGTATTTATACTACATAATGTTATTAAGTTTTAGAAAAAAGACCCATAAAATCCGTTTTGGTAATTTCATTGTTTTTCATTACAAAACTACAATCATAAGTTACCATGGCAGGCAGTAAACGTATAACAACACAAACTAATTTACTGTTATATACATAAGTATCTAATAAATAAACTTTATGAAGTTACTACACAAAAGCTAAAACCGATTATTTTTAATGTATATTTAACTGTTAACAATATACTCATTAAATGCATGTATTAGTGGAATATAATACCATAAAAATGTAAATATTATTTATTTAATTCGTGTGTAATACGCGCATATGAACATAGTTTTAAAATTTAGTTTTTATCGTTTCCTTAGTATTTTAATATAATTTATTACATTTTTTTTTTTTAATTGAATTTAGTCATAATTATGACTTGTTTTATTAGAAAATTATGATATTAATCGATTCATATATTTTGTATATATTATTAATGATAGTTATTTAATCTACAACAACAGTATTGAATAATTTACAAATTATAGTGTAAAATACGTGAAAAGTAAAAAATAATTTTTAAAAATAAAAATGTTGTTGATATATATTATAATGAATATGACGATGGTTTTTTTTTTTAATTATTGTTGTTTACATGTTGCAGTGTTAAATTATTAAATATTAAATATTTAATTGAAATATATTTTTATAAGTCAGTCGGTGTTTTTTTAAAAGTAAAAATAGATACATGATAACGTTCATAAAATTATAAGTAAAGTTGAAATTTTGGTGCACTTTGAATTTTTTTCCAAAGTTTGCTGTACGATGTTTATACTGTCACAAATTCGTTTCTTGACTTTTGAATAAATATAAGAAATTGAATTTTGAATTTTAAAATTTTCGATTTTTAGGTCATTTTCTACGCTTTTTAGAGTATTTTATAGTATTTTTAAAGCATTTGTTTATTTTAAATCCTAAATTGGAATTTAAAAATTTGTTTTAAGATTTTTATTCACCAAAACAATTTTTATATAAATGTAACAACTTATATAATTGGTATTAGTAACTCATATTATACTATCGGACAACTGTTGACGTAAAAACTTAGATAATAAGTGATGATAACATGCTTCTATAATAGTGTACGTGATATATTTACGAATATTATCACTAATCGACAATTTAGAATTGATAAAATTAACGTTCGATAGTATCGTTTAGTTTTGTTATTGTAACCACGGGTAAATTCATTTTTCTTGGTTAATTTTTAAATTTATTTTAGTTAATTTTTAACTGAAGAATTTTTGAGTTTTTGAGGTAATTGTTGTTAAAGGCATTTTGAGGTTTTTACGGAATTAAAATCCCAATCCTAGTAATAAGCTTTATTAGTTATATAACGTGATCAAATGTAACTAACATTTATAGTATTTTTAATTTTACTATCAAATATATTAAATGAATTGACATTAAAATTATACTATGTACAATATATATATATTGTACATAGATTTTTTTAACTTAAAATATATTTTTTATAATTTATAACATTTGAATGTTTTTTAGTGTTATCAAGTTGTTGCTATATATTATTTTTTTTTCCAAAAACTATAAAATATTTTCTACATTTTGTCATCGTTTTTTTTAAAATGTATTTTTTTATGTTTATGTTTGGTGCATAAAAATCAAGTATCTAAGCAAAAGTTAATTATTTTTAATAGTGCACCAATATTATATTGTAGTGAATATAACGTTTATCCAACACGTTTATTTAAACATTAAATAACCTTTTTTAATCATTATTTTTATTCGATAAAGAAGATTTAATTGTAGATTAATTACGTAATTAAGAAAATTTTGAGATTATTAAAAAATGCAATTATAATACTTTGTTTATAGATATAGTTGTTTTTTTCTAATTGAATTGATATCTTTATTACCTACATTTGTAACTGTAATTAACTTATAAATTATTTGCGTACAAATTATAAAATTTACTATTTTGTGAATATGCTTGAATTTTTAAATATTGCTTGAAAAACTTTTATGCTAATATCTTGTCCGAGTAAAGATATTTTATTTGAATAGTTATCGTTCTAAATTTTAAATTAATTTCGATAGTAATCGATTTACAGTTTCTTACAGTTCAGAGCTAAGCTCAATCAGATGTTTTATTTATGTCACGTTTTAAAATTGTATTGAACAATTTTATGAATATCTAATAATTTTTAAAATTTATATGAAGTGAATAGGTACCTATATTATGAGTATCCTTGAATTTAATTATTAAGTCATGAACATTAAATATTATAAATTTTATCTAAATGATTATAATACCTTTGTCGAATTAACTTATAATAAAAAAAATTAAATGTAAAATAAAGTTTAATTTTTCTTAGATTTTAAATCAATATAGCAAGATTAATTACAAAAGTCTAGGAACATTATTCTAAATCATGTAATCGTTTAAATATAATATACTTACTTTCCATAGAAAAAATATTGACTTTATCACTTATACTGATTTTAAAATTGTTTAAAATGTTATTCATACTCCATTTAACATATTAAATTATGTTTTAATATAGACATTAAAATATTATTTTAAAGATCATTTAAAATAATTTAACAATGTATATTTTTCAAATCGGGATAACTCGTTATAAAATTTAATAAGCTCTTACCAATCTGAAGATTGCAAAATCATATTTGTGCAAATCTTGATTCCTTGTCGACTTAAGGAAACAAAAATATTATTAAACTCTTAAAATATTGTACCACGTATATGGAACAATAAAAATAAAATTAAAAACACGTAATTTCGAACCAACAAGAGTTAAATAATTTCAAAGAAAATAACATTTATGTGTGGAGTATTTATTGAGTTTATTGTTAAGAAAACAAAATGATTTACAAACAATTAAATGTATATCATTATATTATTGAATTGAAAGCAAAAATACATACTATTGCATACTGAACATATCATCGATATAATATTAATTAGAAAAAATTGATGTAAGATATTACAACGTTCACTTATTATTTTCCCCATTTCTGAAAGAATCCCATCCTTTGACATTTGCAATTTACGCCCCACAAATTGCAACGACAGGAACCGCCGTTACAGCAATATTTTGGTCTGTGATCGCAGTTTCCTCCTCTTGGAACACATGATTTGCGAAACTTAAAGATCGATAATTTCCTAAATAAACAACAAAATACCCAGTGTTTAAAATATTATTATTGCTGAAAATTTTGACTCGATAAAATATGCAATGAACAGAAATAACATTTAATAATTTTACAATTTTTTTTTTTTAACAACGTGTAACAATGTAATATACATAGAGATGTTAAAATATGGTATTTTATTTATTTTTTGTATAATACTATATTATACCGGTATTATACCAGTATTATACCGTATATAACGTTGTAGTACCTTAAATTACAAAGAATTTAACAAAGGTTATAACCCCATTGTTAATTATGAAATATAAATTATTTTAAAACGGATTAATTGAAAAAAATGGCTAAAAAATTAGAAAAATTAAAAAAAACACATAAGACAAGAATTATTCATCAAATTCAACAAATTAATATTTAGTCATGCTATCGATTTGCAATTATGATATAGGTAACATACGTATGTATTTTATATATAGAAATACATATTTTTTAAATAGAAATAAAGATAAAACTATACTTAATACTTTTATAGTTGTATACTATCTCATTGTACCCATATATTTACAATATTTGAATATTATATTAGTACAATAAATTAATTTCAGGGGTGGATCCAGAGGGGGGCAAATGGGGCGATCGCCCTTCCCCGTTCAACGTAACAGACTTAAGTTTTTTACGTAATTACTTCAAGGGTAAATAGGGAAATCTTAAACTATTTTTTTATACCAAACTTATGCTGGTACTATGTTATCACTTATATTTATTATTTGGTGATATACTGATATCACAGTTATATATTACTACACAATTTAAGATCTACAGGTTAGCTATCGAATACCTAAATTGCATTGATAACTGACGGTCAGAATGCGTTACGGGTTTAGTACACATTTTCGGCACATCTCTAAAGCGTTAGTAGTATGTAGTTGTATGTTATATTATTACAGTAATTATATGACAAATTTAAATAATTCATCAGAAGCTGAGCTTTTAATTTAAAATAAAAATGAGGATTAACCCATCAAAATTTACATTTATTTCTATTTCTATACTAGCAGAAGAGTGCTTTGCAGAACATTGCAAACAAAAAAACGTATTTGATCTAACGGTTAAAGATGTTTTAAATATTTCTTTTACATTTCCATGCTTCAAACAAATAATATAATCATATCTACTCTGATACATTTCATTGTGATGCGAATGCGCCACTTTGCAGTTTAAGATTATCACCAAGAAATTTAAAATAGTAGACAAAAGAAAGAAATAGCCTAACTAATTTCAACTTAAATTATACAGATTTTTGCTTATTTTTTTATTAATATATTGTTTCTAGTGTTATTTAACTGCATTATTTAAAAATATTATTAATTTATTTAGATATTTAATTTTAATTCGTACAGAAAATTTCCATGATGTTTAAATGCTGGGAATCACTTATTTTATTAATATTGAAAATAAACTCATTTTACCAAATTTTGAGATACGCACTGTTGAAGTTTAAATGACGGTATCAAAATTAATATTTTTAATTTTAACTATAGCATGTGCGTCCGTTAAAAATCCTCCCTCCCCCCGTTATCTTGGTCTGTATCCGCCCTTGATTGATTTTAGTCATTTTTAACATCTGAATTCTAAATTAACACGATTACAATAATATTGTATATTTTTATAATAATATTGTACTTTATTGGAGATCCAATCTATAAGTACAACTAAAAAATTAATAGTTGAGTTACTAAAAATAACTAAAACTAACAATTTCATATTTTTTTTTATACTGTCTGTATAAAATAATTTAATACCATTTGTATAATACCTTGTATAATACAGTTTAATACCACTGTATAATACAAACTCACATCACTAAATATACACTATGAAACATGTTCTTTTCTTACCTCTTTTGAACGTCGAGATCGGGAACACCGTATATTAAATCTTCGTCTTCTGCGGTATTATCTTTATCCATGTATTCTTCTAGGTCTGTCAATAAAGGAGTGCCATCTTCATCTAAATTAAAATAAATTTCATCAGTAATTTCTAAAAAATAATTACATTGAGTTTTAATTTATTTTAGAATGATGTATTTGAAATTATATCAATTAAACGAATTAATATTGTAAATCGGTTAATACGTCAATTTTATGAAATAGAATAAAAAGAGATTACATGTGATATCAAATGAGATGACATACGAATGAATGCTGTGAATTTAATTCGCAGGCAAAATAATAAATCATCAAAAATAGAATAATATATAAAATTGAATTTCAACGATGTATAAAAAAAGCAATGAACCAATAGGTTTAAACAATTTGTTAAAAAACAAAAAACTACATTTATTTGAGGCCATTTCTAATGATATGACGTAGAAAAAAATTACGTCTTAAATAAAATCAAATATTATGTTATAATTAAATTATAAATTTAATGGTTGGTTTCAAGAGAAAACGCATAAAATGAATAACTTATTAAAATGTAATGAGCCAATCGAAAGAAAATGTTAATATTTATGGGGCTGTTAAAAATCCAAGCTTCTATATTTCCCGGTCGAACGCGTGTACTTGTACACTGGCGTAAGTCCATTTTCATTACAATGTTTGATTCAAATGACTTATTCCTATTTTAAATGTATAATACTGTTTGTAAAATATTACATGAATGATTATTAATTTTGTTCAAGTTAGATCTATTTATACATATATCTCGAAGTTTTCTTTTTAATAATACTTGAGAAAAGTATGTTTTTTAATCACGGTACCGACATTTTAATATCTACGATATTTTATACTTCATAAAATACATTGCACGATGATATTTTTTCCTATTACCTTTTTATTTATATACGTAGTATATTAAAACAAATTTTAATAAAAAGTGAAAACGAAAGCAACAATTTTTACGTACATATTTCATCATTTTCAATTTCAACATTTCTTTTTGCCAGAATTATTTTGATATGGATATTACGAAATGTGGGTGTTAACGTGTTTTATTTTGTATTGCAATTTATTTTCAAGTCTATATTTATAATATGAACCGACTTTATATATATATATTTTTTTTATATTTTATATGTATTCCTTAATCAAGAATAATATTTACATTTTTAACAATTGTACGTGTTCACGGAAAATTAATGGCTCGTCATATAAAGTAAAATAAAATACCATAGATATCGAACAAAATAATAATATAACATTTTAATATTTTTTCAACAAGAATGATAAAAATATCATATCCACCTCAATTATAATTTTAGCTAATGATTAGATATTGTATTATTATTTTAGATATTATATATAATAATAATAATAATAATTAAACATTAAATAATAAATAAATAAAATACTAAAAATAGACAATACAATAAAAAGTAAATATTTACAAATACATAAACAAAATAATTAAGTAATCACTGATAAATTTCTGATAGATAAAATGATATTATTTTATTATTATAATTCAATCTGTAACTGGAGTAGAGTTAAAGTTTAACGCTGCAATTTCATTGGTAGAGAAAAGTCTGGATTTTAATTAATAACTTAAAAAGGATACCAATTTGTTTCATTATACTTATCTTATAATATTGTGTTAACGATAAATTCTACTTACCAAAGAAATCTCTTTCGGGATAATTATCTAGAGGTGATGCTGTTGATGTATTTTCCAGCAAAAGTATGGTTGTACATAGAACCACGCAAATAGTGATGAAATACTTCATTTTTATTTTCTATGGTCAAAAATGTATATAATAACAGCTGAATACATTTGTAGTATTATGAAAATGATGTATTCAAATGTATTTGTTTGTTTATATACAAAATAGTATATACCATGAATATTATAATTATTATAAAATGGTAATCTTTTTACTTTAAAATAAATAATTATACCTTTTAAACATATAGGGGCACGCCGAAGAAGGGGTTTTATGCGCTCAAGCTCTCCCAAAATGTTAACAAATATTTAAAAATTTAATAAAATTTAAGTTAAATATATTCAAAACAAAAAATACTCATAATTGCTTCTACATATAGTTTATATGAAAACGATCTCAACACAAAAGTTTATAAATAGTTCACCAAATTTTTACTCGTGTTTATCGGCTAAAACGTATGCAATTAAAAACTATTTTATTTATTTTTTTAGTGTCATAAAATGATATACATTATAGATACTATATTGAATATAATTTTATGTTGTGTATGTTTTTCTAGGATAAAGCGATTAGTAGAAGGGACAGATATCAACGAAATAAGTAATACGTATAAGTTATGACGTGTGTACTATAAAATATATTGATTATTTTTAAATTTATTATCGATTGATTGTAAAAATAAGCGTCACAAAAATAAAAAATAGTTATAATCTTTAAGTAACTTGTTTCTTGAATTCATCTCGCAACACATTCCCTCGTTTTGCATTACATTCAAACAAAATGCTGTTGTTAACAAAATTATGTGTTTACTTAATGACCTATAGTTTATTATTATTTTCAGTCCTTCCTTATATACGCGACATAATGTTGAATTTATATATTTTTAAATGAACCTTAAAGTTATTCATATTTGTTCATGGAATAATGTAACAAAACAGATGTAGGTATTTGTGGAAGTTTGACTTTTAATTTTCAATAGTTATTATACTGGAAGAGGTCTTCAAGAAGAGTGTTTAAACAATGTCAAATAATTGTGTGTATAGACTTTTTAACACTTGAACACATTTTTAAAATTTTTAAGATAAAATTATTCAACACTATTGCTGTATAGTATAGTATAAAGAAAATAATGGAATGAGTATACTTCACTCTTAATTATGCGACAAATGACAATATAGCATGTTAAATTCTCAAATGAAAATATCATAATTTAATTCAATGTAATTATCAGTTTACATTTAGTATATCACTTTATAGCGTCACTGAAAATTAATGTGAGTAAATGTGAGTAATTGAAAATTTGTGACAAATAAATACAATACGTGTGTGGGTAATTGTTCAGTAATTTAAATTTATTATGAGTTATATTATTTATTCTAAAATTTAACCATACAAATAATACAAATAGAAATTTATTTATTTTTTAATTTTTAATGCCTAAACTATTAGCAAGATAAAAAAAAGTTGAGTAGAAAAAATATGTTTGATAAAATATTTACCTTAATATTTTAAATATATAATCTTATTATAAAAATAATATAAGTACGATTTAATATGGTTTTCTAATGTTTAAATAGTGGATGATTTAAATAAGAATGTAGTATTGTCAATATTATTTTTGTACTTGACGAGAGATATAAAATGAAAATTCAATAAAAATGCATATACCTATATACTGGTGAAAAAAAATATACTTATCATTTATATTAATACATACAATATTTATACATTGTGTTGAAATAAAACTATTTTTTAAATTTATTTGGTTTATTTAATACTTAATATTAAATATTATTTAATACTGATTCAAATTAATAATAATTAAATTGTTGTGTAATATAATATTGTTTACAGCAACTGTAACACTATTAATAATCAACGCTTTATTCATATTTTAAAAAATGTGTTTTCTTTATTGTAAGCAATTTTTAACTAAAAATATGAAACAATATAATGAGTATAAATAAGTTAAAAAGTGAAGTTGATAGGAAGTCATTACTCAATGTATTTATATAGGTATTATTACCAACAAAAATCCGCTTTTAATTAAATCAAACAGTTTAGGCGTTTTGAGATTTTGACACTAATTAAACTTTTGGTCATTAATCTAGTATATTATAAAATAAGAGGTTAGTTATAAGATGAAACATGAAATACAAAAAAATTTATTATTTTATTCTCGTAGTACTTTGCTAGCCTCTAAAATGTTCACATTTTATATTTGATGGTGATTCACAAAATGTAGAAATAATTTTAAATTTTTCATAGTTTTCAGTACTAAGTGTTCACTTCATACTTGGATTCATAAGTACAATTTTTAACAGAGAGGGAGAAAATAACTTTTATTTTTAAAAATATATAAAATAAATAAAATAATTATAACACAAATACAATTAATAATAAAGCAAATATATAATTGGAGTAGATTAGAGTTGTTTCAATTATAAGGTGTATCATCTACTCTTAAAAATACCATTTAAATACTATTACAATTTTTAATGTTTCAAGTATTATATTGTACATACATTGTACATGATGATTGATACCTTTAGCTATTAATCCTTATTTGCGTAAATAAATCATATAATATATAAATATATATATATATATATATATATTTGTATATTATGAAGAAAATATATTCTAATATATTTTGAATTATATCTAAATAAATTAAAATAAACGGTATTATTTACACTTAGAAAAACATTAATTAGGTAAGTAAAAACATTTATAACTTTGCTTGATTTTATAATGATAATATTTTATTTTTAACTATTAAGGAACAAGATTTATGTTACAAGTATTGATTTCAATGTAACTTAAACAATGCAAGAAAATCTCGTATAATTGAATCTACTCTAATAAATTTAATTCTCACAAAATATTTGAATGAAATTCAAATGTTTCCAAATTTTTTATTAACAATGTAAAATGTCGTACTTTTTATTGCATATAATGTAGTTTAATTATCTAAAATTTAAAGGGGTTTGTGGTTTTTGATATTAAATTTTATAACTTATTCGTGTAAAAATTTTAAATTTGTGTATTTTTAAACTATATAAATGATTCTATGGATGATCATTCGATAATATACAAAGTAAAGCCAAAATAACAAATGTAAGATGGCATAAATCCGATAATAGTACTAAAATGTGTACAATGTTAAAATGCAAATAAAATGAAATATTTACAAAAAATAGGAGTTTATACCATGTAAGGGATATACATAAATTATAAGTCGTATATTAAACATGTAAAACAGGATATTTAAAAAACTTACGTGTATGTAACGTGGAGGCGGGCGAATGTCGTAGGACGTAAGACTTAACGTCTGAACAGAGTCTGAACAATATTATGACAGTTTCGGCTTTTATAAGAAACTGCCAATGAGCGAAGGGAGGAAAAATCTCCCAGCAAGTACCCTCAGCGCAAACTCCTATTCAGATGTAGCAGTATGGGCCGCGCGTTTTATAATTCTTTTATCAAAACACTTGGAGTGTATTTATTATTGCTTAGATTTTCGACTATACATATTAAGCGAACAGCCGCACGGTGCAATAATTAAAACTCGATGATCACTTTAAAATATAACTAAATTAATTGTATTGCAAGTTTATGTTATCTTCACTTTGGTATGATTCTTATGTGTACATGCAAATTAAAGTGAGAATCGGTGATGGTCCCAGGATTCATTATCGGGCAACTTTTACGTACACGTTCCGTTTTTTAGTCTTTGACCTTGTTTCGATGGCCAACAATAAAATTTATGTTGTAATTCACATTATTTCCAACAGTAATTTTTTATTACAACAGCATTAGACAAACGTCTACTATTTTTATCGCTTCGCAGCAGAGATTCAATGAAGTAAAAAAGGTTTCAATGGCCACAATTAATTGTTATCATTTTCATTACGTAGAACTGTACAATGTAATGGTTAAAAAATAACTACTTAGAATTATATTATTTCCGATGAGTCTGATAAAGTAATGAATTAGCGTAGACGAATGTACGGACATAAAAAGGTTACATACATTTTCATGTTATCAATGTTTTAATAAAATCACTATGTTCGTATATTTATGTAATATATATAAATATATGAACATTATTTAAAAAAATAAAATAAAATATTATTATTAAAATAAAAATAATTAATATGAATTATATATAATAATGATGAATAATATTAATAATAATATAAATAATAAATATTTTTTATTTTATATATTATTATTTACTATATATATATATAGTGAAATCTACACATCATAGTCTTAATATATCTGTAGTATACCTACTATACTATAGTTCTCATATCGGGCGGGACACGTTCCACCCAAAAATGACCCTGTCCGTTTCGTCCGGGTACCCGTTTCATCCAGAATAGTTTAGACCGATTTAAAATTAAGTTGGCAATTAATATAATATTTTAATATTTGAGTATCATTTAGCGTTATCCAGAAAACACTACGAGGAGGCGATAGTCTTTAGATAGATAAATACTATTTGTTTTCCAAAAATTTTTGGAAATAACCAAAAGTATATAACGTAGCAGAACACGAACGTTTTACACAGCGTCAACGAATCTCACATGTATTTACATTATTTGAATCAAAATTGTATTTATAATTGTTAAACATTACCATATCTCTGTCTCTTGTAGTTTTAAAAACACAGCCATTTTAGTAAAATGCGTGTTATGTTTACACGTCGACGTAGCGTATACGTACTGACCACGATAAAAGATAATCTTTGCTGTCTATTACTTTTATAAGTTATAAGTAGGTACCTATTTTATACTAGATAATATAAGCTAAGGTGATGATGCAGCGTGTTGATAAATTCAATTTTTCGGTGTGCTTTCGGTATGCGCTTTATAGGTTTTGCTCGATCTCAATTCGATAACGACTAGATTTCTTATGTGATATTTGCTATCGATTTTATATATTATTATTTATAAAGGATATTTCTTTTCTTTCCTATCTCAATTACCCGTAATTTTATTACTAAAGGTTTTATAATAGTCGTCTTTTAGGGATCAGAAACTTTAGCACCATTTCTTAACGTTCGCTTATAATATTTGACTGAACTATTGCCAACTTAGTTTTAAATTGGTTTAAACTACTCTGGGTGAAACGGGAATTATAAAGAAACACAATTTGGACGAAACGGGTACCCGGGCGAAACGGGTACCCGGGCGAAACGGGCTACGCCCCTCATATCTATACCTGGTTCAAATAATTTGGCAAATAAAATTAATTGATATTTTTTTCATTGAAAAAAGTTTGTTTAAAAAGTACATAATAATGTGATTAATATAATGAATGTTTATTTAAATCAAAATTACATCATAGCAACTAATTTAGAAAATATTGTTTAATTAATGATCATTATTCATCTATGGAAATGTAATGCTATAAAGTCGATTCCTTCTAAAATAAGTGAATATTTCTATATTTAATTAGATAAAATAAAACTTCAAAAGAGCATTAACTATTCTTCTATTGTATAATTTACTTCTTGCCTAAAAATATTTTAATATTATATCGATATCAAATATACTTTTTAATAATATTCGATTTTATTATTTTATTTAGCTTATTAATAAGTAAATAAGATGTTAAATATAACATTTTTTAACATACAATTTTTCTAATATGTATATTTAAACATTTATAAATAAATTAGAAACAATTTAAATTATATAGAAAAAAAAAGGTAAATAAAGATACTGAATTAATCATTGTATATTTCAATAAATTTAATAAATATTTGATTTACCTTACATTCTTAGTATTTTAAAGTTCTTATATTATTGTACTTTCTTGTGATAGATAATTTAATAATATAAAAATTTTAAATTTCCAAGCTTTGAGTTTTGTACTTCGGATTTTATGTCATAAAATACATCTATTAAATAAATAATTTAATATTTTAAAAAATATTTTATTGAAAACATATTTGTACTAAACCGTATAGTTTGTGTTACCGAGTTGATTTAAATTATATTATTTTCAATTTGCACGAACTTATATAATGTAAAATAAATAGATTCACATGATTTCGAAATGTTGAATTGCGAAGAAAAAAAATACATATATACAATAAAAAAACTAAAACTAAAACACTAAAAACTATGTTAGTTTTGATATTTTGTGAATTAAAATTGGAAAATATATATTTTATATTTTTGTTGTGTAGTATTTACTTGTATTATACATACATGAAGATGGTATTGAAAGACGTAGACGATTTTTTTGACAGGAAAAGTTTTAATATATTTTCAAGACAAAAATACAATTTAATAACTTTATTATGGTTTTAATTAAATTTAAATATTTAAAAAAATTTTTGTTTTTTTAAAAATATATTTATTATGCCATTCGGATTGAAGTTGTTGAATTTATACATAATTATTGTAAATAATATGAATAGGGAAATTTAATTATAAAGAAAAACACACCTTTACATGCAATTCAATATTGATTTTAAGAAAGTATAATAATCCCTTGTATTATTAACAGTTTAATTTATCGTTTTTAGACGAAGCTTTATCTAATGCTATCTAGCGGTTGAGTATTTAAACTATAACTGAAATGTTTGTTCAGTTAAACTCAGACATTTATGATTTTAATTTGTTATATCGTAAATTGAGAAGGATTTGTGTTCGTATTGTATTTAACATTTTAATGAAAATGTTATATATATAATAGTCAATACAATTTTAATCAGATTTAAATTATACTATGGAATTGTTTTTAAATTTATATATAATATTATTTTCTGTTTAAATGCGTTACTTATTGTGTTTTTATTAAACGTAATCGCGTAAAGGTATAATTTTTGAAATTTAATTTAGTTTATTCTATTTTTATGTTCGTTTGTTTGTTATGATAATATGTACATTAAAATGTATCAAACAACAATGTATTTTGTGTTATTTATTTACTTATTTATTTTTAATGCTTTGCAGTACATTATAATATTATGTTATAAGTAGTACTTCAACTGAAGTGTAATTAAGTTCTCGTTCAGTCACAGACAATAAAAACAATCATCATTACATAAAAACGTATGTATAGACTTAAAATTAATTAAAATAATTAATATTCCATGAATAATTTTGAAACAATACATATATTACTGTACACAATACACGTATTTTCAAATAATTCCTTCATGATATTATAAAAGATCGCAATGGAATTTCGTTTGTATTCTAAATAATAATCTTGCTGCGATCACTAGTTATTCGCTTATGGGCACCTCTAGAGCAAACGTAACTACTCTCAAGTTGATTAAAATGCGATTTCATAAAAATTGTATGTAATTGATACATTTTCTGCATCGAGTATCAGTTACAGGAAACCAAGGTATATTATTATTGACTATGGAATACAATTTTACTACTATCAACTATTGTTAACCATTATGATAATGTTTCATTTTCACTAAATATATTCATCGATAAAACTAATTAGCTCCTATTAAGTATACTTTCTCAGAAACAGAAAAAAATGTACTGCGATTTACTACTGGCGTTGTAATATTTCTGATTCTGAGTGAAACGAGGAATGTATTGATTGTATAAATAGGATGTGTTTTTTTTTTATGTTTATAATCATGACTTTACCATAGACTTTTTATCGGAAATGTTGTCTAATTGGTACTTTGAGTAGAGTTATTTAACGAATGTCTAGACAGTTTTTTCAGTGATTGCGAAAAACAAATAAAAAGTTATAAGGATACGAAAATATTTATGGCGAAAATGTTTGATGATATAATGACTCAAAGACCATAGGAGTCGAGAAATTGGATTCTTATATCGACGTTTGCTTTAGTTGTTATAATCTTTAAGGATTTTTTTTTTTTACGTATTCAAGGAAAATTGAATTTTCTAGTTTTCTGATTTTTTTTTTTTTTTTTTAAGTCAATTAAATGGTTTTGGTTAAACAAACAGTTATCAAAGTTTAATGCGAAATCGCTCATACATATTTATTACTAAAAAAATAAAAAAAATACCATTGTTTGATTATTAAATGTTGACGAAAAGATAAAAATCATAGAAAGGTGTTACACTTTATATTTTTGAAATATCATAAAGAAATTAAATTACATTTTATCCTATTCACTAGGTAATTTCTATTTCCTCAAATTTTAGATGCATTTGTTTGTAGATTTTAGAATATTGAAAGTCCAACATACTTTATTAATACATTTGCTTCAGCTTCTGTATTAACTATTTTTAGAAATAAAAACTCACCCTTCCTTTTTCTCACATAATCGTTTTTTTCAAGAGCAACGGTACATTGATTTCCATTTAAAAAGACCAATAAAGTAATAATAATTACCCGGATAGATTATCTCAATCGACCTAATAGTTCCATCTTTTTTTTAAACTGTAATAGCCTCTCTATCTATTGTATAATAGTATTTGATCAGCAAGTCATATCTCGGAAAGCAACCCAGCAAAATTTATAATTTTACCAATTAATTAAAAATATAATTTTAACTTAGGTTTTCGGTGTTCTTTGGCATCGTACTACGTAATAATTAGTTGTTATAATTAACTTCGTTAGGACATTTATCATTAAAAATAATTAAAATATACTAAATATATAGTTAATACTCCAATATTGACCAAGTTATTCATAAGATTATAATAACCTATAGAAAAATAGGCTATACTATTTTCATTTTGTGAATGGATATTATTAGAAAATTTGGGTCAAGATATCAGATTATAAGTAATGTTAATAGATTATCACGTACTGATGGTACTAATTTATAAAATGAATAACTTTAGGGATTAATCTTTACGATGGACTTACAAGCACAAAATTTATAGATAGTACCTATTTAAAAACTCAATTTTTATATTAACTGTCTTCATTAATAATTAGCAATAATTGATAAACACTGTTATCTGTAATAACTGTACTTAAATTAATTTGTTTTATTTAATAATTAACTGCTAAGCATCTATATAACATTTAAAATTTTATTAGATGTAAATAAAATATAGATTATGTAATCATAAATATTTTAAAAATAAAATTAACTATTATTTAATTTAAATTTGAAACAGTGATTTATGATAATTGGCTTCAATATTCATTTAGCAATAATAGTAGGTTAGTTTGAAAACGATGAATGCCATCAAAATAAATTTAACTCATTTAATTGATAACACAGTAACAAGGTTTGCATAAATTTACAGAAATTGGGTTCAATTAAAATGTTCTGAAATTATTGACATTTTCACAGTACCATTTTTTTATTGGAATTACTTAAAATAAATATTTTTTTTTATTATCTGTTCTTTTAATTATTCTGAGATGTATTTCTCAATAAATAATTTGACATTACTACAATCTATATAAAATACAATTCGACATAAGTGGTATTATGAATTGCAATTTATTTTATTTTTTCATTATTTGTTAACAGTTTTTGAAAACTTTTTTACCAGGAAGAATATTAAGGAAAACTGGATTTTGAATATAATTAATTTCGAATTTCTATACAATTAATTATTTTATGATAACCTTATTAGATATAATAATATTGTAACATTTATTACTACAATACTGAAGTCTCTAACGGATCACTTGAAGCATTAATAATGTTTTATTTCCAGTATAATTGCCATAATATATTCATTAAAAATATAAACTTATTAATTAAACGTGTAATACATGATATAGTCACAATTAATACATATTTTTTTTTTCTATTTTTGTAGAGATTTTTATTTGAATAAATCGTATGGATTTAGAATTAGCACGAAACATTTATTAACTATAATTAACAGTGAAATTCCTAAAAACCAATTATTTTACAGTTATAAACAGTGTTCGACTTGAGGGGGGATGCAGGGGGACGGAGTACCCCAACTAATTTTCAGGAATTTTAGTGTTCCCTTACTATTTTACGTTATACAGTCAACTCGCAGTATAACGAAGTTTGATATAACGAAAATCTCGATATAACGTATAAAACTGTCGGACCCTTGAAAACCTCGTGCTATAACGAAAAATCAAATGTATTTTGGTCCCCTCGATATAACGAAGATTTTTTGGCTAAAATTCACGTAATGTAACGAATTTTTACAATTTTGGAGATTGATACAGCACATTTTACGAGTTTGTTTCGGCCATTCTTATGCGATAAGATAATGTTCATGTATCGTTTATATGATACACGTCTGTTAAATGTAAATTGTATTAAATATAAATAAAAATTTGTTGCTATCGACAAAGGTTTGGTTGTCTGTGAAGTTCTCAATGACGATGAGATTTTGAATAAAGCTGATGACGAAGAGCCCCCCGTAAGCTCGAATGAAGCAAAATTAGGTCTCCGTGCCGTCTTAAGTTTTTTACAAAGACATGATATTGACGACAGTGTATTTTGTAATATTCTAAATTTGAACAACACTATTAATCGTGTAAGCGCAAATGGATACACACAAAAAAAAAAATCATATTTTTTTAAAAAATAAATATGTATGTATGTAATAAACAAAAAATGTATGAATGTATCTAATAAAATATTTAATAATAATTTCATATTGTATGTAGGTATGTAATTATAAAAATCTAATAAAATTTAAATTTTCTTTTAAATATCGTTTAAAAAAATTTTGTTGATTTATGCTTTTGATATAATGAATTTCGATGTAACGAACTTTCGATGTAACGAACTTTTTGCTCGGTCCCTTGAAATTCGTTATATCGCGAGTTGACTATAATTATAACACTTAACAAGTTTTGG